ATATATATAAATATATATAATATAAATTTGTTAAAAAAATTATATCAATAAGAATTTCTAATCGATTACAATACATAAAATTAAACTCCATACATATCTTTATTTGTTTCAAATTTGTTCAAAGAAAAATCTTTAAAAATATTTTTGTGCAAAAAAAAAAACGTTTATGAATAATATAAAGGATTGATAAGAGAGTATATCAAATGGAGAAAAAATAATAAGGATGAAATTACAATACTAAATAGAAAATGAGAAAGGTTTTAAGGTTGAAGTGTATAGGATTGTGTTATTTTTCTGGCATCATATGCTAGTTTTGAATGAATATATTATATAATTGAAAGGTGTTACGTGCATACACTTTTAATATATTTTCTCTTTTGACAGTCATACTCTTTGCACATGTCACTTCGAATATGAGAGGGTTTTAGAAGAGAGGAAATGGGAGAAGAGAACAAGGGCTTGGTATGGTGCAAACACAGGAACTTGGTGGCCAGCACATCTAATGGTGGCAAAGGTGAGGCCATTCTCATACTCCTCCACCCACCCTGCCACTTGAAGCTAGTGAAACCATGCTCTCCACTTTTTCTTCACTTTCAAACCCATCTTACTTATGTTGTATCTTGTTGATGTAACTGGAACTCTTCCATCAGTGTCCCCACTGCAACCATGCACGAATGTCAAAACTCATCAAATGTTTTCCATTGATTAATAATACATGAAAAGACTTGTTTACAAACTCTAACGAAAATCTTTAAGATATGATATAACACGATCTTTTTAATACAATTTTCTTAGTATTAGACTGAGGATGTGTAAGCAAGTTCTTAATAAATAAATAAATAAAATCATACTCAATATCTTTGACTCTTACTAATTTTCACTATTTATATAAAGAAATATTGATTATTGTAATTATAATTAATTATAATAATTAAAATTAATTAATTTTTAAAATGATAATTAAAATTGATTAAAAGTACAACAGTTAGATTATAATATCTTATTAAAATTGATATTATTTAGATTTTAAAACATGTAATTGATAAAAATAGTTATTTTGAATTTAAATTTAAATTCAAAATAATTTTATAAATAAATTAACCTTTTAAAATATTTTAAAATATACAAATGTTAAGATATTGTGGTTAATCATATCTTAATTGATTATATCATATCATGTAAATCCTTATTTTTATTTTAAATGAGAGTTATGTGTGTTAAAGATTTAGGGGGTGTATTGTATTAAGATTTCAATAAATTTTAAAAGACTTTTTTATTGTAATAAAGTTTTGTGATATTCAATTAAAACTTTTTTTAATATAAAAAAGTCATGTGATATTCAATCAAGATAATTAGAATTTTTTTTAAGAGACCGTCAAAATCTTGTGGTCTTCAATTAAGACAATTAGGATTTTTTTAGGAGTCTATCAAAATCTGGTGGTATTAAATTAACACTTTTTTTTACTTAAAAAAAATTCGTTGATATTCAAAACTATAAAGATTTCAATGGATTATTTTAAATACTGGATTTTGTAAGATTTTTTAGTATAATTTATATGTAATTCACTCATAAAATAATCTCACCAAAATCTTTGAGATTTCGCATGATTTTTTTCTCTTCTATTCCTACTTTTAATTTCTTTTTCTCTCTTAAATATTTTCTCTAATGTTTTTTCTTCTCTTTCATATTCTTTGTTTTTCTCTCCTTCTTTCTCGTCGTTCTTACCTCTCTTTATTCTTTTTTCTCTATTTCATTTTCTCATTTTCTTTTTATTTATCTCTCTTTTATATCTATTTGTTTTGTCTCATATTATTTTTTCTCTCTCCTTCTCTGTCACCTTTCTTGCTTCTCTTCCTCTCTCTCTTTCAACTATGTCTTTTTTTTCTTTCTCTTTTTATTCATCTCTTCTTCTTCTCCTATTTTTTTATCTATCAATTGATGCATAATTTATCAATATTTATTTTTTTAATTATTAAATATTTAAAATGATTTTTTATTATTAAATATTATATATTGTTAATTTTTAAATTATTAAAATTTAATTGTTTATTTTAATAAAATTTAATATTGAAATATAAAGTTTTGAAACATATATTAAGAAGATTTTGCAGGTCATGGTAATGACCCTCAAAATGAAAATGAAGTTTTTAATTTATATCATACATTTTTAAGA